GCTTAGTTACTTCCTTGGTCTTCAAATCAAGCAAATGAAGAATGGCACATTTATGAGTCAAGGAAAGTACATCAAAGACATGCTCAAGAAGTTTAGAATGGATGATGCTAAAGCAATTAGTACACCAATGGGGACAAATAGAAACTTGGATAGTGATGCTAGTGGCAACATGGTGGATCAAAAGATGTATCGGTCTATGATTGGAAGCCTACTCTATGTGACCGCATCAAGGCCGGATGTGATTTTTAGTGTATGCATGTGTGTTAGATTTCAAGCCTCACCAAGAGAAAATCATTTGAAGGCAACCAAAAGAATATTGAGATACTTGAAGCATACATAAAATTTTGGATTGTGGTATCCCAAAGGAGCAAGATTTGAGTTGATTGGATATTCGGACTCTAATTATGCGGGATGCAAAGTTAAGAGAAAGAGCACATCGGGCACATGTCAACTATTGGGAAGATCACTTGTGTCTTGGTCATCAAAGAAGTAAAATATTGTAGCACTTTCAACCACTAAAGCAGAGTACATTTTGGCCGGTAGTTGTTGTTCTCAATTACTTTAGATGAAGGCTACCTTGAATGACTTTGGAATCAAGTTCAAACAAGTGCCATTGCTTTGTGACAATGAGAGTGCTATCAAGCTCACCAACAATCCGGTTCAACATGCAAGAACAAAGCACATTGATGTCCGCTATCATTTCATTAGAGATCACCAACAAAAAGGAGGCATATGCATTGAAAGTGTGGGCACCGATGATCAACCTACCGATATATTCACCAAGCCACTTGATGAGAAGAAGTTTTGCAAGCTAAGGAATAAATTGAACATACTTGACTTCTCAAATATGTGTTGATGCACCCCCATTATATGACATGCCTCTCCTTCGAGCAAAGCAAGGTAAAATTGATTGACATGTCATTCATCCATTGCTAAGGACTTGTTTAGTGCATCTAGTCATTCCTCACATGTCTTAGGATCATTCATGGAAATCAAATGAATTTGATGCTTGTATGGTACCACTATTGCTTGTATGCTTGAAATGATCTAGTGGTAGCATATGACATGTTTGTGGGCTTGTGAACCTAGTGTTTGATCTAGAAAATGAACTATAAGTGTTTAACTCAACATGGTGCATGATAACCCTTATTTGGAGGTGTGAAAAAACTTGCCCTTGGATCAAACCGAGTTAAATATCTTTTGCAAGTGATCTAGATTGAACCAAATTGAGAAAATGATCTTCACTTCACATGGTTTCACACAACCTATCTAAAATTTGAGTTCACCTTGATGACAAAGGGGGAGAAGTAATTCCCAAAGATAAGCAAAATAAAAGGAAGGGGATCAATTAAAATTTGAAGCACACAAGTAGGGGGAGCAAGCTCATAAACTTGTATGTTGCATTTGAATGTGCATTACATATGTTTGCTTGCATGGCACAAGTTCTTAAATTCCCTATCCATGCTTGTGTGGTGTATGCTAGATTGTAGAAAATGATTGATGAAATAAAAACTAGCATGCATAGGATAGCTAGATATACCTTGATCTTTTACAAGTGGTATTAGAACCTTGCTTCTAATGTTGATCTCACGAGGTATCTAGTTTGTCTTTGTTTTTCAAGTGGTATCTAGCTAATCATGGTGCTAAGGATGGTGTTCAAATGGCAACTCCAATTGGTATCACACTTCAAAGGTCCATTCTTTACACCTTAGCATCACTTGGTATCTATTACTCTTCCAAACTTCCAATTCATGCATATGTGCAAGCTTTCAAATCCAAACTCTTAGCATATATGTAGGGGGAGCTAATACTACCAATTTGGGTTGATGAAACTTGTCCATAACCTTTACACATGGTAATATGCTTGGGCAAGCAACATGAATCCAAAAAGATTTAATTGAATATCTTTGAGAAAAGCTTGTCATCAATTATCAAAAAGGGAGAGATTAAAAGCCCTAGTTTGGTTTTGGATAATTGATGAAACCGATGCACTAACCCTTGTCATGAGTGGTAATATGAGCTAGGTTGGTGCAATCCAAGTGAGGAGCATTGTGGTACTCAAATGGTGATGTTGATCACATGAAATGATGAAGATGGCCACATGTGATTATGATCAAGTGCTCAACTTGGAAAAGAAGAAAGAGAAAAACAAAACCCTATGGAGATCAAGGCAAAGGTATAAATAGGGGTTTTTGTTTTAGTGATCAAGACACTATAGAGAGTGTGATCACATTTAGGGTAGATGGCCGTACTATTAAAAAGGGTTCTTAACTAGATAATTCGGTCATCTAGTGCCAATAGGTGTTGGACTTCATGCATTGCGTTTAGACCTAGTGGACATCGGAGAGCAAGTGAAAATATTTATGGAAAATGTTTTGAGAAATGCTAACTTGGCTCTAACATGTTTTGACAAAACACTTTGAGAGTTAGCATCGCTTGCGGAAAGTTGCTCTAAGTTGCCGTGGAATGAAACATGAAAAAGTTTACAACTTGCAGAGGGGCTTGGTGTCTGGGTGGCACCGCCACCCCTTGTCTGGTGCATCGTCGCCCCTGTGGTGGTGCCCGGCTAACTTGGTTCTGAGCGCGAGCGTCGGGGTGGTCACCGGACACGGCGGTGTGCACCGCCATGTGTGTGACGGTGCACCGTCGATGGCTGTCCGGTGCCACCGCCGCTTTTTAACCGTGGCTAGGGTTTGCTGAAGTTAGGGCCGAGGGGGCACCGCCCTGGTCACCGCCGTGGGGTGGCGGTGCACCGCCCTAATTATCCAAAGAGGGGTGTTTTCGGGGGCTCGGCCAGAGTGGCACCGCCACCCCTTGTCTGGTGCCACCATCACCCCTGTCCGATGACCAACTAGACATTGGTCGACCATTGGAATTCGACCATTGGGGGCACCATCACCCCTGTCCGGTGACCGCACCGCCCTGTCCGGTGCCCTCGCAGAAAACAGCTCTAAGGGGTAACGACTCTATTTACTTGTGTGGCTATAAATAGAGGGTGTGGGCGGCCTTGGCTACTGTCTTGGTACCTCTTACACTTGTGCACATCCTTTGGAAGCTGAGCAACACACTCCACTCACTTGTTCACTTGATTTCATCATCTTGAGTGAGTTTGGAGAGCCTCTAGTGCATTGCATTGAGTTGCATCATCTTATGGCACTAGTTGGGTGATTTGGGCTGGTTGTGAGCTTGTTACTCTTGGTGTTTGCCGACACCTAGATGGCCTGGTGATTGGAGGATCGTTGAGCGGAGTTGGTGATTGTCTCCGGCCTCGATCGGTTGCTTGTGAGGGGTCTTGTGCCTTGACCGACGGAGTGCTAAAGGCAACTTTAGTACATTGCTCCTGTCATTGAGCTACCTCACTTGTGGGTAGGTTCTTGCGGTGTCCAATTGTGTGGACGAGGTTCGTGCAACACCTTTTAGCCGTCGAACCACCAAGTGTTAGTCGACACAACGGGGACTAGCGTGCCGGCAAATACGTGAACCTCGGGAGAAAAATCTTGTGTCTTTTGTGTGATTGGATTTCTCCCGGTGATTGGTTGTCTCCACATTGTGATTGGTTCATTCGTCGACACGGCGGTATAGTCATCCTACTCACTCCTTTACATTCCTTGCAAACTAATTGTTAAGCTCTTTAGTGTAGTTAGTCTTTGATAGCTTGTTAGTTTGGTTAGTGTGGCTCTTTAGTTAGTATTTGAGAGCACACTAGCTTAGTGAGTAGTGTCCTAGCTTGTTGTGTGTGCTAGTGATCATAGTAACTAGAATTATTGGAATAAGTGGCTTGCAACCCTTGTAGAGCTAGAGCAAAATCGTATTACGCTGTTTGTCATACTAATCAATTGCTCTAGTGTCTTATAGAATTTTTAAATAGACTATTCACCCCCTCTAGTCATATTAGGATCTTTCACATGTCATCTCCGTTGAGCGCAATTACTACTTTTAATATATTTAAAATATAGAAGACATCCATATATTGTTGTTTGTTTTACCATTTCATGCATCATCTTATAATTCAATCTGATTTTGTTAGTTTTTTATTGGAATTTTTTATTACCTTGCTCAATTTTGATAAGAATGGATGTAAGAACATATATGTTTAACTCATACATGAAAAGTTTCTCCTTAAAAATTATGAACAAGGTCATATAAAAAAGTTGTCATCATAAGTTGTATCTATATCTATATCTACTATATCTATATATCTTTACGTACCTTAATATTAAAGAGGCAAAAAAAAATTCATCTATTTTTTTTTGTCCACGACCCTCTAACTACCCGAATAGTGGAGAGTTTTCCTAGTGTTTCGTATGTGACCTGGACTTATGACTCATACTCATATGAGTTTGGACAACTCGTGTCTAGTGACCAGAGTCCGATTTCAATACGTATTGGGTTGTTCCCTACGTATTTCATAGATAACCTGCACTTAACTACTCGCATCTAGCAAAGATACAAAGTCTTATTCATATACGTATCAGGGCACGGGCATTTTTTATAGTTATAAAATAATATAATAATGTCAAAAACACACATTGAAAAAATGATTATAAGTTCCTCCTACAAAATAGCATGCACAATAATTTTCTAGAAATAGAAAGTCACGGAAACATTTTCTGTCTAGAAAAGGAAATTAAAGTTGCATGGTTGTCTAATGGTTCTGATTAGAATCCAATGAACGTTCGAATCTAGGTCAGTCGGTATTGTTGGGGAGATAACACGGGTGAAAGATGGACACGTTTTCTACACGACAAAGGAAGGATGGATCATGGATGTTTGGCCTCTTTACTAATGGGCCACGCGCTGCACCGTACCGAGTACCGACTCGGACTCTTACGCGAACGCGAACGCGAACGCTACCTCGTTTCCTCACCTCAAGGTTGCATTGCTTATATATACAGAGACGGTAACGTCTAGGGCCGGCGACCCATGCAAGCGACCTAGCTGCGTATGGCATATCGCAAATTCGCAACTCGCCGTAACACCGATCCAGCGCGTCAGAGTCCATGGCGGACTCGTCGAAGGAGAAAGAGGAGCAGGCCCGCAAGGCTCACGCGCTCGCCCTCGCCGGCAACGTCTTGGCCGCCAAGATGTGGATGCAGTCCACGGTCAGGCTGGTGCCGGACCTCCCCGGCACGCCGCAGATCGTAGCGGCCTACGACGTCCACGTGGCGGCGGCGCGGAGCACCCGCGACTGGTACGACGTGGCCTAAAGCCCGGCGGTCGCGCCAACGCCCTCACCCACGATGACATCAAGAAACAGCACCGGCGGCTCTGCCTCCTCGTGCACCCGGACAAGAACCCCAGCGCCGCGGCCGACGGTGCGTTCAAGCTCATCCAGGCCGCCTGGCACGCGCTCTTAGCCAACCACCCTCCTCTCGGCACCGCGGTGCCCGCGCCGCCGCCGCCGCAGCGCCAGGCAGCACCACCACCGAGGCCGCCGCCGGAGCCGCAACCGAGGCCGTGGCACCGGAGACCGGCACCGCAGGCGACGCCGAGACCTGCAGCGCCGAGGCCACCAACCTACTACCCGAAGCCAGCGAAGCCGAAGCAGAAGAGCAAATGCCCAGCCTGCGGCGGGCAGACCATTAACGGCAGGAACAACGCGCCGACCCTTGTCGGCAGGAACAATTACCGGTGCATGAGCTGCCTGTGGAGCCCCAAGGACGGCAGGCATGAGCCGCATGAAGAGGACTGCGACGACTACGACTTCGATTAGTAGACGCTCATGTCTTCTTGGACCGAGCTAGATAGAATAGGTTTCAATTTGAGAAAATTGAAATTTTTGATATTGCTAATACTATTTTCTATTTGGACTTTGCAAAATTACCATTTACTATATCTGTTTCTTTAGTATTCCTGGCATTCGATTATTTTTTATCATTTTTTATTCTCTCTCTAAATTAGTCACCTGAACTCTAAATTTGTTTTTTTACGTAAGACACGAATTCTAAATTTGTCTCTCGGCCTAATCCCCACTACAAGTTGTATCTCAATGTACAAATCATCACATCATCTCCTACTAACTATCTATATATCTCCCACTAATATCTATATCATACATACCACTAACTTTCAATGCAAGCTATCCATGACATCTTCACTAATCACCACTGCTACTTTGAATATATAAAAAAAGTATAGAAGGCATCCATTTATTACTATAGGCAACTGCTCTGGTACTCCTAAATATTGTACACGTCTCAAAGCAGTCAATTCAAAAATTATTATTTATTATTTTTGCACGGGTCCCGCATTGGCCCAGCTCGTCCTAGCCCAGCCTTGATCCAGAGGGAAAGTCACATGTGTGGAAGTCTCCATCCATTTATTGTTCACGCCGCCGTTTCCCTCATGGACGGTGCGTCAAGAAGCCGGCGGACCTCCACTCCCTCCTCCGATCCTTGTTAAAGCCTAGGGAGTTCCCTTCTCCGGCCCCTTGCGGCGGCCATTCCCGAGCAGCGGCTGTCGGCGGACGAAGCCAGCGGCAGCGCCTCCTTCCATCTCCTTACTCGATTTTCGTGAGCCGGCAAGAAAGTTCGGCAGCGCGCCATCGAAGGAGACAACGTCTCGAGCAGCGGCAACTACCGGACTCAGCGAAGGGTGGCGCCTCCTCCGCCGATCCCATTTAGTTGCGCTGGCAGCAGGCGAGCTTCGGTGGCGCCATCTGATTTGGCGTGCCCTTAGCACCGCCCTAATGCCTCCCTCCACTGACCACCTGCACCTCTTTGAGTAGCGTTGCCAGCCGCAGTCATAGAACCAGGACGAGTTCAGCCACACGACAGACAACGATGACATTGAAATGCGATAAGCGCCCTCGTCGCCCTATCTACCATCACGTAAAAGGAAGCAAACACAACGTCCTGGTTCTATGCCTTGGGAGCGATTTTCTGCCTCGATAGGCCCATGATCATGGTAGGAATCCTCCGCATGATGCATCGCCTCTCCTTCTCAAACTTCCTAGGGTAGTATAGAACCTCCACTACTGGATTCAGGTTCTTTGCCGAGTGCCTCCAAATTGCACTCGGCAAAGCCTTTGCCGAGTGTGGCACTCGGCAAAGAACACACGGTAAAAATTTGATCGGTAAAGTCCTCTTTGCCGAGTGTCTTTTATCGGGCACTCGGCAAAGGCTTTGCCGAGTGCCCCAGTGACACTCGGCAAAGAAAAGCGACCGGCCACGGCGTCCGGTCCGTTGATGGTCACTTTGCCGAAAGTGCCAACCCTATGAGCACTCGGCAAAGATTTTTTTTTTTGTGGGAAATTCTTTGCCGAGTGCCAACCTGCAGCACTCGGCAAAGATTTTTTATTTTTTAAAAATTTCTTTGCCGAAAGTGCCAAGCCTTGAGCACTTTCGGCAAAGATTTTTTTATTTTTTAAATTTTCTTTGCCCAATGCCAACCCTTCAGGCACTCGGCAAAGAGTTTTAATTTTTTTTACAAAATTTCTTTGCCGAGTGCCAAACCTTCAGGCACTCGGCAAATATTTTTTTATTTTTTTTTAAATTTCTTTGCCGAGTGGTCTCTGGCCGGCACTCGGCAAAATTTGAATTTTTTTTTAAATTTATTTGTCGAGTGCTCTCTGCCCGGCACTCGGCAAAGTTTAAATTTTTTTTTAAAAAAAAATTCTTTGCCGAGTGCCATGATCACAGCACTCGGCAAAGCTAGAAAATGGTTTCAGCTTTGCCGAGTGCTGTGACCATAGCACTTGGCAAAGGGGTCCTTTGCCGAGTGCAACGCTCGGCAAAGTGACCCAAAACGACAATTTTTAATTTTTTTTTACATTCCATCATGACAAATAAATTCATACAAACATATATCACATATATATCTCATCCATCACATATATATCTCATCCATCACATATATATCTCATTCATCCACACATCCATCCACACATATCACATCCATCCAATACCAGTTTGCAGGATACAAGAAGAATTTCCTGAATGAGAGACAAAAAAATTGCCAAAGATGATCTTCTAAACATGAAAGTTCAGGTATACACACACACGCTCAACACAGTTGTACACACACCTAGCTTTCTCTTCAGCTCTGACAACAGCTGCTTCTAGAATTACAGCATTTCCTCTAGCTTTTCCTAGTTTTGAGCACCACACCTGAGCTTCTTGAAGAGCAGAATCTCTCTCTGTTAGCAAACGACCTCTTCAACAAGAAGCTTTGCTTTCTCCTCCGATTCCCTTAACTGAAACAAAAATACAGACAAGTTCAAATATTTTCATTGACACGAAACATTCTCATGGTGGTCTGAATCTAGTCTATAACACTTTAACTAATAAGCATTAGAAGATATGTGTACTGTATGCGATTGTTACCCTAAGCAAAACGTTCAAGTTCTGACGTAAAAAATCTTCTCTCTTCATCAATTGAACGTGCTGCAGAAGCAGCAGTTTCAGCTGCTTCTGCAATCTCCTGTAACTTTTCTTCAATTTCATTGATGGTAGAATCACGTGCACGAATATCCTGCAACAATTGGTGGAGTTCGTCGTCTTTAACTCGAAGGGTCTCCTGTTGGTCGCAGATGCATTGCCATTGCCAGAAAAATAGAAACAAGAAAATAATTTCAGTATCCAATCATCAAATTATAGCATATTATAGTTTTAGAAGTATCGCTTTGAAAGACAGACTACAATAAAGTTATCCATCATATGAGCTTTAAATGTTTTATTATAGATGATAAGTTCATTATCAACTTTTGCATCACAGGATTACAAATCAGTTTTCAGTCAGTCAGTGAATTTTTTATGAAGTATTGTTGTCATATAATCCAGCTATAGCAACAGGGTGCTGAAAGGAATATATATCTCCTGTTGGTTGCAGCAAATTTAGTATGCCAGGAAATTGGCTGGTAACTGACAAAATTCCTGTTGATTTAGCAATATTTTTGTTGATTTGGCAAAAAAAAGTTATCATCTATACAAAGTAGTATAGCTTCTCACAGTGCATAAATGGTTTCAGCAACTATAGTCTATAGGACACACCATTTGCTGGTTTTTGGAGCACAGTCTTATGTACATTACATCAGCAATTCTAGCATCCACTGCTCAATTACTGAATAGTAATTCAGGTACTCTTATGTACAAGTAGTATATGGAAGAGCATACCATCATTATTGTGAGATCATCTAATTGGCCTTTGGTAAGTTTATTTGTAGTTGAGCCCAAAGTTGCCCGCAGGGAAACCTTCATTGCAGCCTCTACCTCCTTTGTTGCTTCAATTGCAGTGGCATTGGCTACAGCCACAACAGTTGCAACTGTTCCCAATTTTGCAGGACCATTCTCACCCAATGAATTCACGGCCTCCTTATGAGCCTGTAGTACCAACTGAGTCTGCACTGCATATGAAGCAAGAAAATATTATTAGGCTTCAAGGTCTGCAGATATAACAGCAGTACACAAAATGGGAAATGATAGATCTGTGCACATCGAACATATCATACATCAACCAAACGAAATTGAAGGGAAGGGATATTATATATACTGAGGCAACCAAGTAACATTATCAATGAGGGAACCAAATGAAACCCTTTGCTTTGCAAGATGCTACAAGCAACTGTTTCTTTGTTTCACTTTGGAACAAGAGCGCCAGTAGCACTAACTATTTACAGGAAGCTTTTCTAATCATTGGGGAAGTGGTGAGCAGTGATCCAGGTCAGCTAATGAGAATACCATAGTAGAGCACCAAATAGAGCAAAATTTTCAACGTTTCTGATTCTGGTTAGAAATTACACAATAAAATAACAAGGAGTTTCACATATGCTAATTCTAGTGTTTACCCATGAAAGTCTACTCCCTCCATCCTAGAATACAATGGATCAAAGCATTCAAATGTTTTCATTAATGAGTAAATTGCATGAATTTCCATTTAAATAAACCTACCCGTAAAAAATTGCGTGATTTGCCATTATGTGTGCGGTAGTTGAGCAAGGCCTTCTCTAAATTCACCAACCACAGCCACCATATATGCATCAACTAAATAGCAGAGTTTAAGTCAAGGATGCATGGGTCTTTTGAAATTTCTCTTAATCTGTCTTAAATATCTAGGATCCAGGACAAAGGGAGTAGTCCACTAATATGGTTTTCTATTTTTTTCCGCTTTTCAGTTCTGCCAATACTGACACTTACGGGAACAAATCAAACAGCAACCCACTATAGACCCAGTTGTACAAGTGCAAATAGCAGATTCAACATATATTCAATTAATGTTCATTTAATCTTAGTCACTCCGGTGGCAGGGAAGAGATAATCCAACAGTAATGCAAAACTCATGGTTCAGGATAAAACCGGTCTAAGGGAATACAAAAGTTAAAAAGATAAGTATAATCAAGAACCGTAGATTATCAAAGCTTACTGTAAAGTGGATACCCATGCTCTTGCAGCGCTGGGAGTACCTGGAGGAGGTGGCGGGTGGAGGTGGAGGAGAGCTGGCGCCGCACCCGGTCCAAGCTGCTCTGCATCTCGCCCACCACCTGCGGTCAGCTCGACGCAAGAGCGAGGAGCAAGAGAAATTCCCAGCAGCTCCCGGTGAGATCCCAGCTCAAATCATACGGAAACGCAAAGGAACCCGCCAGCGTCGGCCGATACCTGGCCCGATCCGGGGACAAGAGAGGAGTTGCCGGACTCACCGTGCTGCTGCTCCCGTTCGAGGCCATGGCTAGCTGCCGGTGCCGGCAGGACAAGAGGAAGAAGAGGAAGGAACCCCCTCCTCCTCCTCGCCTCCTCCCCCTCCTCCTCCCCCCTCCTCCTCCTCCTCCCCTCCTCCATCCGCTGGCGTTGGCGGGCCGGCGTGGGCGAGCTGGCCACGCGTGGAGGGGCTGCGGCTGCGGCTGCGGCGGGCGTGGGGAGTGGCTGCGGCTGCGGCGCGCCGGCGGGTGAGCGGGCGGGGCACGGCGGCGTGCGTGTGTGCGTTCGGTGGCCGGTTGTCTAGTGCGGATGGGCCCGATCTGGCACTCGGCAAAGACGCCGGTTCGCCGAGTGGCGGACCACAGACACTCGACAAAGGCACCACTTTGTCCGGTGCCTGACAGCTGACACTCGGCAAAGAGCATGGCAAACTAATTTTTTTTTGGTATTTTGACCTCTAAATTTTTTCTGTAGTTTTTTTATAGTACTTGGTACTCCACGTTAAAATTTGATATATTTTCTGAACTGTTGGCTATATTTAGTTACTTTATTTCGTTTACTTGAATTTTTTCGAAAAATATAAATTTGAACTGCACGTGCATCGAATAATGGAATTTAATGATTTAAAAAATGATATTCACGTTACTGAGTGTAGTGTGAGGCCGTATCTAGGAACAGACCCAAAATTTCGAACATCTTATTCACGAAACATGACCACGAACTTGCGGACGAAGTGTTTATAAATTCTATAAAAAACAAATGAAGTCCGAAAATCATGAAACTTGTTGAGATGTCGTGATATCATATGTGGAGGCTATGATAAAAATTTCAGAAAATTTCGTGCACGTTGTCACGTACGATGCTTACACCAGGACATCTCTACATGTCCTGGTTTGTAAGCATCGTACGTGACAACGTGCACCAAAATTTCTCAAATTTTTATCATAGCCTCCACATATGAGATCACGATATCTCAACAAGTTTTATGATTTTCGGACTTCGTTTGCTTTTTATAGAATTTAAAAACACTTCACAGGCAATTTCGCGGACATGTTTCGTGAACAAGATGTCCGAAATTTCGGGTCCGTTCCTGGATACGGCCTCTCACAACACTCACTAACATGACTATCAATTTTCGAATCATTAAACTCCATTATTCGTACCACGGGCAGTTCAAATTTCTAATTTCCGAAAAAATTCAAGTAAACGAAATAAAGTAACTAAATATATCAAAAAGCCACAAAAAATCCCCAAATTGTAGCTAGGAGTTCCTGGTGCTTTAAAAGGACTACATAAAAAAATTGGAGGCCAAAAACAAAAAAAACAAAAAAAACTTTACCGAGTGCCGGGGCATGACACTCGGCAAAGGGGTCTTTGCCGAGTGCCAAGAATAAGGCACTCGGCAAAGAGTGTTTTAAATTTTTTTAAAAAAAATTTCCTCTTTACCGAGTGCATCCACAGGAGCGCTCGGCAAAGAAATTATAAAAAAAAATTAAATCTTTGCCGAGTGCCGTGACAGTGGCACTCGGCAAAGTAATTTTTTTTTAAAAAAAATTATTTGCCGAGCGTCAGATCTGAGACGCTCGGCAAAGAATTTAAAAAAAAATTAAATCTTTGCCGAGTGCCAGATCTGGGGCACTCGGCAAAGAAATTTTTTAAAAAATCAAATCTTTGCCGAGTGCCTAACAGCAGGCGCTCGGCAAAGAAGGCCGTGACCGAACGCCGTTTCGCGGGCAGCCTATGCCGAGTGTAGAGATTTTGCCGAGAGTCTGGCATTCGGCAAAGAAGTCCTTTGCCGAGTGTCCGTGTTTGCCGAGTGTCCGGCACTCGGCAAAGAACTCTTTGCCGAGTGCAATTCTTTGCCGAGTGCAGTACTCGGCAAAGAAGGTCTTTGCCAAGTGCCCGATTTTTGATACTCGGCAAAGAATTTTGCACTCGGCAAAGTTTCCAGTAGTGCTCACAATCTTGTGATCCTCTAGTGACTCGATGGACAAGATCCTCCAGTGACTCGATGGACTAGGGGGAGCAGTCATGTTTGCATCAAGTCGTAGTTTAGGTTGATCGCTATTGCAAACTCCCTGAACATGGACCCGTGTCGGTACAGCTCCCCAGTCATCAACCAAAAGGTCTCCTCTTCAAAGTCAAACTCCAAACTAGCATAAAACTGACGTATGATGGTCTTGTTCTAGTCATAACTGAATGCAATCACCTCCCAAAGTTCAATGGCCTAGAACATCTGGGTGATCTCCGCCACATGCTCGAAGCTCTTGATGCAAGCCCAGTCAATCGAATTGGCCTTATGGATATTCTGCGTGTCGAAGTGGCCCTAGCTAGCTAGAAGGGCTCTTGCTGGTGAGGGTACGGTGTGGAACTCCCTCTAAGTAGCCATCTTGGGAAAAGGTTGTATAGTGGCGTGGGCAAAGCCTACTGGAACTCCACCCCCTCATGTCTACATGTCTGTTCCAATCAATCTCCAAGTGTTCATGGTCGTCCTCCATAACCACCACCCTCCCCCTTAGCCCCACCCTGCTGGTCCAGCTCCTCCTCCATCTCATTCTCCTTCCCGCTGTTGTCCTCCTCCGCCTCGCACTCACCCAAGTTGTTGGACACTGTAACCTCTACTTTCTGAGTTACAGGTGACCAATCAAGCCAAAAAAACTCTCAGTCATCAAGATTGGAAGAGCGAAAACGGAATAGTTGACACACTTAAAAAAAAGGCGAGACTTGCTAGAATCTCAAGCTCTTGTCTTCTCTCTTGCCAGACATTGGCTCATTCATCAAGATGTAATGTCGCTCAAGTATTGGAATGTTTAGAATGCGCAATCTTCACTCAATATCCGTACTTCGTGGAATTTTAACTTTCAGAAAAAAAAATGTCCTTTGCTGGGCCCGCCCCCCGTACCGAGTACCGACTCGGACTCGAACGCTTACCTCGTTTCCCCTTTGCGCTTGCCTATATATACAGGAACGGTAATGTCTAGGGCCGGCAAACCCGGCGTATGGCACATCGCAAATTCGCAATTCGTAGCACCGTTCCAGCGCGTCCGAAGCCATGGCAGACTCGAAGGAAAAAGAGAAGGAAGAGCAGGCGCGCAAGGCTCACGCGCTCGCCGAGAAGTGCTTCCTCGCCGGCAACGTCTTGGCCTCCAGGCAGTGGATGCAGTCCGCGGTCAGGCTGGCGCCGGACCTCCCCGGCACGCCACAGATCGTGGCGGCCTACAACGTCCACGCCGGCGGCGGCCGAGCCCCCGACTTGTACGCCGTGCTGGGCCTAAATCCCGGAGGCGGCGTCACCCAAGGAAAAAAATCTTGGCGAGAAAAAAACGAGATTTTCGATAATCCCGTTTCTCGCCTGGACCCGGTAATTTCAGTTACCGCTCAAATTTTTCGGCCATTTTGAATTTGGGCCCGCGAAAAAAGCCCTCTGGATGGCCGGCCCAAATACCCACCTCCATATATATATTCCTCGGTCCTTCTCTAACCCTAAAGCTTATCCATTCGTCCACCATACTTGTCGCCGCGGCCATCGCCGCCGCCGCCTGCCACTCGTCTCCCTCACCAAGGCTGCTTGGTCGTGCAGGAGCTGCACTGGTGCTTCAACAATGCTTGTTCTTGTTTGCTGCTCGTCTCCCTCCCCAACGTTGCCCTCCATCCTCACGACCTTACTGCTCGGTTTCCATAGGTACAATGGCTCTATTTCCATTTGATTTTGAGAGATCTACTGTTTGACGTGTTCATTTCAAGCTTTGTGTGTGTACTGCCAGGACGTGTGCGTCCCTTCTGTGATCGTGATTGGGGGCAGGGATGATGATGCACGTTCACGCCCTCCAGCTTGTCAACCTGCTACTCGAGGCGAGGGTGATGCTTCGTCGAGTGGTGTTGTTGGTAGAGTGCCGATGATAGACACTAGTGCTACGGTTGAGGTGGTTGCAAAAAATGGTAAATCAACACATTGTTGTATGACTATGGGAGATTCATAGTAAATGTTTCGCTTTCTCAATTGTTGTGCACATATTGATGACCACCAAGCTATTTGAATGATAATTTTGAATAAATTTGATGGCAACAAAATTTATCTATGATATCTAAAATGAACTATAGAGGTTTTGCCAATGCCATAGCTGAACTCCTTTTGTTGCAACAATAGCACATAAATGATTTTATTTTTGTTATGCAGTTCAAGAAAATGTGTTAATGTGGTGTTGCATGACCTGCAAGCTGACTGTAATGATTTTTAATGAATTTGATGCCTACAAATTGTATCTATGATATCTAAAAATGAATACTGCATTTGGTGCTACATGACAGTAGCACATAATTGATTTTTTTCTGTTTATGCTACTCAATATAATGTGTTAACACTACATGTGGTGCTATAGGGAGACGAGTGAAGTTAAACGAACCAATTGAGGTCACTTGGAGTCATGGAGAGCCTTTTCCCCACCCTCATGGTGCTGGCTTTAAGTGCTTTTATTATTTCAAAAAGGTAAAGGGTGGAAGTGTGACTCGTCTAAAGAAGCATCTCGCCGGAGCGACCGGAAATGTAGCAGATTGCCCAAATGTGCCGGCTTATATTAAGGATTTAATGTCAAGTGAACTTGTGAAAGGAAAAGTCTGGAGGAAAAGAAGTAGTCAGATTCGTCTCTTTGTTGAAAAGGAGGTTATGGCAGCAAACATAGGCTATGGTAGGCCAAGAAATGCTCTTGATGAAGCAACACAACTTGGAAAAAAAGTGGTAAGAAAAGAAAGGTGGTATCTAAGGAAGATATTGGAGACTATTTTGAATCAGATTTTGATCAGCAAGGTAGCCCAACTTATGCAGAGTCAGGAGACAACAGTTCTGATGGTAGTGAAGGCAGTGGTGTGTTTTATCTTTTGATTGACTATTTTATGCATATCATGTCATAAGTTTTCTCGATATAATGTGCTTTTGTTGAAAATATTTGTCAAAGGTGATGGTGATGCTGGTGGTTCTTGTGGTAATACTGGTGGTGTTTGTCAGCCTAGTCGTGGTGAAGAGTCTAATGGA